GGCCTCCCAAAGTGCTGGGATTACAGGCTTGAGCCACCGCGCCCGGCCTTTGAATTTCTTAATGATTTTGAACAAGGGGCCTCATGTTTGCATTTTGCACTGTACTCCACAAATTATGTATCCAGTTTTGCCCAGAGCACTTTGGCATCTTTCTTCCTCTCCCCTTAGTCTGCCCCCAGGAAGCCAGAAGAACCCATTCTATTTGACTAGTTAGAAAATTTACTGTCCTGCATATTTAATTTGGTTTTTGTGAACCATATACACAGCTTAGAATAGAATCTTCCAACTCTGTTTCTTTCATTTATCTAACAAATTGTCACTGAGCATATGTAATGTCCTTGTCACTGGGTATGCGAAGTGAAAGTAACCGCCCTGTCCAATGAGAGTTCATCTATAGGCTAAAGGTGAGGCAGACACACAATCCACCAACCTCTGAACTCTGCGCTGTCTCCTACTGTAGCAATATGCACAGGGTACTATAGGAGCATGGGCAGTGATGTATAGATATGTTTTGGTCTCTGCTTCTTTGAGTATTTATTTATTGAGACAAAAAATGTGACTGTGTTGCCCAGGCTGGAGTGCACTGGTGCAATCTCAGCTCACTGCAACCTCAGCCTCCTGTGGTAAAGCAGTCCTCCTACCTCAGCCTCCCAGGTAGCTGGGACTATAGTCATATGCCATCATGCCTGGCTAATTTTTATATTTTTTGTAGAGAAGGGGTTTCACCATTTTGCCCAGATTGGTCTCTTAACTCCTGGATTCAAGTGATCTGCCTACCTCAACCTCCTAAAGTGTTGGGATTACAAGTATGAGCCACCACACCAAGCCTGAGTTTATTTATTTTATTATTTTTGAGATGGAGTCTCAATCTGTCACCAGGCTGGAGTGCAGTGGCATGATCTTGGCTCACTGCAACCCCCTCCTCCTGGGTACAAGTGATTCTCCTGCTTCATCCTCCCGAGTAGCTGGGACTACAGGCACGTGCCAACACACCCAGCTAATTTTTGTATTTTTAATAGAGATGGGGTTTCACCATGTTGGCCAGGATGGTCTCAATCTCTTGACCTCATGATCCACCTACCTTGGCCTCCCAAAGTGCTGGGATACAGGTATAAGCCACTGCACCCGGCCTATTTTTTTATTTATTTAATTTTTTGTGTGTGAGACGGGGTCTTGCTCTGTCACCCAGGCTGGAGTGCAGTGGTGTGATCACAGCACACTACAGCCTTGACCTCCTGGGCTAAAGCGATCCTCCTGTCCTCCTCCCAAGTAGCTGGGACCACAGGCATATGCTACCATGTTCAGCTAATTTTTTAATTTTTTGTAGAGATGGGGTCTTTCTGTGTTGCCCAGGCTAATCTCAAACTCATGAGCTCAAGCATTTCTCCTGCCTCAGCCTCCCAAAGTGCTGAGATTACAGGTGTGAGCCACCTTGCCCAGCCTTCTTTGAGTTTATATATTTATTTGTTTAAGCTCTGTTTCTCAAGAAGCATTCCTTTCTTCTGTCTCCAGATGGTTTCCACGGTGATGTGTACCTAACAGTGAAGCTGCTGCTGCCAGGAGTCATTAAGAGTGTTTATAACTTGAATGATAAGCAGATTGTGAAGCTTTTCAGTCGCATTTTTAACTGCAACCCAGATGAGATGGCACGGGACCTAGAGCAGGTCAGAGGAAGGGGAGGGAGGATAGGCTGCATTCCAGGTAGGGTTTTGCCAAGCTAGGCACCTGCAACCTCTTTTTTTTCTGGTTGGGATACATACTGTTTTAGGAAACTGAAACCCATTTGAGCAAGCTTCCGTTATTGCGGGAGTTGAATGTGAGGCCATAGATGTTAATTTCGTAAGTTTCTGAGGATGGAAACCATACCACTGCTGAACCACAAAGGCCTAGTTCTCAAAAGTCAGAATTTGAGACTTGCCCCCCTTTCTCTCCTGGGGCTCTTATTCTGGACTCTCTTTTTTCTTGCTTGTTTTCTCCCATAACTTGGGCTTACCAAGCTTTAGGTTTGTTCATGACTCTAGCCTTGGTGCATGACTCTAGCCTTGGTATCATGGAAAGTTTCCATCCAAGCACCTCCATTATCTGATGACCATATATGTCTCTAGTTCAAATTCTTAAGCAGGAATTAAATTAGCTCAGCACTAGATTAGTTCTTATGTCTTCTCTCAGCTAGGGCAGGTTGGCACCTTGTATGGTAGACAGACATACCCCTTCTAGGAAATGTGGATGGGCTAGTGTTACTAAGAAGTAGGCTAGATATGGCCAGGCGTGGTGGCTCACGCCTGTAATCCAAGCATTTTGGAGGTCAAGGTGGGTGGATGACCTGAGGTTGGGAGTTCAAGACCAGCCTGACCAACATGGTGAAACCACGTCTTAAAATAAATAAATAATAAGAAAGAAGTAGGCTAGATATGTTGAGTTGGGATAAGAGCTATGATTGAAATTTCTTGATTAATCTTCAGTCCTGGGTTTTAGGGGATACACTTGGCCACCCTAGGGTTGCAGCAGTGGCATTTTGGTTTTTGGAGACAGGGTGACGTGTCAGAGACAATCAGAGTCTTCTTTGAGCAGAGCAAGTCTTTTCCCCCAGCTGCCAAGAGCCTCCTTACCATCCAGGAAGTGGATGAGTTCCTTCGGCGGCTGTCCAAGCTCACCAAGGAGGATGAGCAGCAACAGGCCCTGCAGGACATTGCCTCCAGGTGGGGGAGCTGCCTCCGTCAAACTATGCCCAATGGGGATGGGCATAGAGAGATGGAATCTCTTGGGAAGGGAAGGTTCCCTTGGGATTCCAGAGCTCTTCAAGACCAAGTTAAATGTGCCTCATCCCCCTAGGTGTACAGCCAATGACCTTAAATGCATCATCAGGTTGATCAAACATGATCTGAAGATGAACTCGGGTGCAAAACATGTGTAAGTAGCAGCTCGTCTGACAGACTGAGCTGTCGTTTGTTAGCTTCGTTTGTTCCTAACTGGTGTCAGGACTTTTGAGTCCCAAGGATTTGAATCCCCATTCCACCTTCTTACTTTCTGTGGGACCCTGATCCCTCACTTGACCTGCCTCTGCGTTCATTTTATCCTGTATAAAATGTAGATAACAGTACCTTTCTCACAGTTGTTACAGTTGAAGTGTGGAATACGTTCAGTGAGTACAGCATGAGTCTCTTGCCTACTCCAGCCCCCTGCTTGCTAAGGCAGTATCCACATAGAGCTAAATCTCAAAAGAGCTAAATTTTCCAAGAGTTTTCTCTCCTGTGAAAGTTTTTAGACAGTAGAACATAGCCTCTTCCCTATAGATTAGGATTTCTCCTGTGACGACAGATTGCTGTCCAAAACCATGGAGTCAAACAAAGGCAGTGGTTTTGTTTCCATGCTCCTGTACCCTGTGGCAGGTTAGACGCCCTTGACCCCAATGCCTATGAAGCCTTCAAAGCCTCGCGCAACCTGCAGGACGTGGTGGAGCGGGTCCTTCGCAATGAGCAGGAGGTGGAGAAGAAGCCAGGCCAGAGACGAGCTCTGAGCGTCCAGGCCTCACTGATGACACCTGTGCAGCCCATGCTGGTGAGGAGTGCTGCCCTGCCCCTGCTCTCCATGCCTCCAAGTTTCACATCCTGGCTGAGATCTGATAGGGTATGAGTATTGAGAGCTCTTGCAAGTTGACTGAAAGAGCTTGGGGAAGGAAGATGGAGGTGCAAGGGGGCATTTCTCAGTAGGAAGTGAAGGCAAAGGAAAAGACAGAGGATCTAGTGGAAAGACCTGAGCTGTAGGCCCAACTATGTCACCAAGAAGCTGAAGAATCTTAGATGAGTGACTTAGCCTCTCTTGTCCTTCAGTCTCCTTTGTGGATGATGTCTGAGACTGAGGCATCTCCCTAGAATGGTTTATCTGTTATCTTAACTGAAGACAGATGGATGTATTAAGTAACCCCTGAGATTCTGTGACCTACTGCAAAATAGATCTGAGAGTTGGTAGCAGAGACAGGCTTCCTGTGACGGGGTAACTCGGGAAGAGGGAGGACACATAGGAATGAAGGCTAACTCTGACAGACATCATCTTGGGCCTCTGCTCATTTCATGAGAAATGGGATTTCCTTTCCAGCCTCATTTTCCTGTGTGACAGGACCCACCACATATGCTGCCATGCCTACTGTGAGATCCTTTGGATTTTCCAGTGATACATGGTGATTTTTTCAAAACCATCTTATGTGTCATGCTAAAGCCTTGGTTTAGAGTTTTATGTTTGAGATAGGGAAGTGTTCTCTCCCTACTAGGAATGCAGGATAGCCAGCACCAAAACAGTGAGATCTCCATCCCGCAGATGGGACTGCGGCCACCTGCAGTAGTGGCCTTTCTTTTATACAAACGCCTCCCAGAGTCTGTTCTACAGCTTGTCATTTAAAGACTGGCATGGGTTATATAGCTTAGTGATTAACCACACAGGTTTTAGAGGTGGGCCTAGATCCAAATCTCATTCTTGCCTTTTACTAACTATGTAACTTAAGCACTTAATATCTCTAAGCTTCAGTTTTGTCAAAAACTAAACAGTATTTGTCACATAAGATGTCACATGGGAGATGAAATGAGATTATGTAGATGAAGTACCCCCAAAATGGTAGCTATTGTTTGAGTTGGGCTAGCACAGGTACGTAAGTGAGCACTCCAGTATCTGGAAATCCTGTCATAGGGATCCCCGATCACTCACCCTGCCAGCCTCACTGTCACCTGCACTCCTTAACCTTAGCTTCACATACCTCTTTTACTGGGATAACTGATGTATTTAATATTGCCAGAGGCCCTGCAAGAGCCTGACTTATTGAGAAAAAAATTAAATCTTGTTTCATTGGGCTTTTACTTGTACAATGAATAGCATTCATATTCCTCAAAATGCAAGCTCCTGTGTCAGCTCTGGTGATTATTTTATAGGCAGAATGCAACATTGCCCAGCCCTTTCCATTCCCATCACCTCTTCAACAGCCTTCCCTGAGCATAAGTTGCGGGGACCCAGGTCCTGCCCTGACTAACCCAATTGCAAGGTCTTTGGATATTGCTGCTGAGCAGCCCCTCACTGAAAGTCTCCAGGCTTTGCTTTCCCCACCCCAAGGCGGAGGCCTGCAAGTCCATTGAGTATGCAATGAAGAAGTGTCCCAATGGCATGTTCTCTGAGATCAAGTATGATGGAGAGCGAGTCCAAGTGCATAAGAATGGGGACCACTTCAGCTACTTCAGCCGCAGTCTCAAGCCCGTCCTGCCTCACAAGGTATGAGTCCCTTCCTTTCCGCCAGGACCATCTTTCCCCTTTCTGCCTCTAAGGGCCAGAGTCCCACAGCCATTTCAGGTATGGTACACAATAAGGGTTTCTTTTTTATTCGTTGTATGAATTCATTCATTCATTCATTTATTCATTTTTGGAATTTTCCAATAATGAAGGCTGCTCAGCAGGGAAAGCAAAAGAGTTCTGACTTGGGTTAGTGAGGGTAGAGCTCCCTGGGACAGTGATACTTCTTTTCTTTTTTTTTTTTTTGAGACAGGGTCTCACTCTGTCACCCAAGGCTGGAGTGCAGTGGCACAATCTTGGTTTAGTGCAACCTCTGCCTCCCAGGTTCAAGTGATTCTCCTGCCTCAGCCTCCTGAGTAGCTGGGACTATAGGCGTGTACCACCATGTCCAGCTAATTTTTTTATTTGTTGTAGAGACAGGGTTTCACCATGTTGGGCAGGCTTGTCTTCAACTCCTGACCTCAGGTGATCCACCTGCCTCAGCCTCCCAAAGTGCTGGGATTATAGGCATGAGCCACTGCATCCGACCAGCGATAACTTCTTTTGCCCACGGTGATACTGGGACGGTGAGCTCAGTTGGTGAGTTGCCGTGTGTCTTTTGTGTTCCCAGGTGCTCCCCGTGAGCAAGACTAAGGCTTATTATATACAACATGCTATTGGGCCGTCATTCATTAATTTGTTCAACAGTTATTTATCAGATGCTTACCAACTGCTACAGCTAGTGGGGATATAGCAGTGGAAAAAAATGGACAAAAGTTCTAGCCATCATGAAGCTTACATTCTGGTGTAAACAGTCTCATAGGGACATCTGGGAGCCTAGGTTCCTGCTCTACTCAGGGGTGGCATTTGGAACCTTATTCCTTAACCCTCTCAACTCCCAAGGATACTGTGAGCCTTTGGGGGTGTCTTCAGGGAAAAGCAGCTGGAACATCTGGCTCCAGTAGCTTGTAAGCAGATGGAATTCCTGTCCCTGCTATCCTTTTCTTTCCTAACTCAGACTCAGTTTTTAAGAGCCCTAGGGGGTTCAGGAGGATGTGCTATATGGCCCCTGTGCTTACCTCAGCCTTGCCTTCCTGCTGGAGCACTGGGGACAAAGCAGTCAGGCCATTGGTTTCATGTGTTCAAGAGGAGAGCTAAGCAGTGGCCTCATTGTGGAGCTTTAGTGCAGGTTCACTTGTTCTGTGAAACACTAGAAAATCACTGAGGAGCTGCTTCTGGTGAGGTTGGTGTTAAATAGACACCATCTGTGACCCAGGAAGAAATCTGAGCACACTTTTCCAGATTTAGTCCTTTCCTTAACTTTCCCTTATGTTCACTCATCCCTTGCCTCTCCTGTGGTCTGGGTTCTTAAAGGGCTAGATTAGGGATTGAAGGAGAATGGCATGAATGTGCTGGCCTTTCCTGTTCCTGCTCTAAGCATCCTGGGTAGTGATGGCTATTGGTTCAGGGCTCCCACTCAGAGAAGACACTGCTCAAGTTTCCTTGCTCTACCTGAGGGGGTTCATTTCTACCTTTCTGTTTTCAAGCAGTCTGTTCTCCCCTAATCCAATCCTCAGCCTGATAGTCACATATCTTCTGCAATAGGCACTAATCTCTGCCCACCCATCCTTCTTCCTCCTCCTCCCGAACAGGTTTACTCTCTGTTTCATCCATTTTCCTCCAAAATTGTGCCTTCTCTACAGCCCATAGAAAGTAACTCAGCATGGGCTGACCTCTTCCTGGGCCTGGACAGAAGTATTGAAACAGATGGCCCCTTCCTGTTGTCTAGGTGGCTCACAAGGCCTAGCATGTTTTGTATATTAGCTGGGCCTTCCACATGTTGTTTTGTATTCCGTCTGGGGCCTAGGCTTTGCTCTCCATGGCATGGTTTTGGGTCCCTGCTGCCATGTCATCCCTCACCAAAGCTCCCCTTCTGCTTTCAGGTGGTCCACTTTAAGGACTACATCCCCCAGGCTTTTCCTGGGGGCCAAAGCATGATCTTGGACTCTGAGGTGCTTCTGATTGACAACAAGACAGGGAAACCACTGCCCTTTGGGACCCTGGGAGTGCACAAGGTATTGCTTCAGGCCATATGTGAAAGAATGAATGAGTGTGAGTATGTACGTGTGTGCACACTGCAGTCTGAAAAAGGAAATATCACTGCAGTCTGAAAAAGGCTTATTCTTCCCTTCTGACTTCATTCTGGTTTGGTTTTTTGTCTTGTTTTTCTCCTAAAAAGGGACTGGTATTGGAACAAACTTATAATTGGGTTGGTTTCCATTTAGCACTGTCTGCTTAGTGCCCTTATGGCCCAGGGGGCTTCAGAGCAAAAGTAGGACTTTTTCATCCGGTGCTTCAGGGGGCCTCCAGAAGTGGATTAGTACTCCTTATTTTTTCATGCCCTCTGACTTTTGTCCTTCGTATACCTACTACCTCATTTTCCCTTACAGAAAGCGGCCTTCCAGGATGCCAATGTCTGCCTGTTTGTTTTTGATTGTATCTACTTTAATGATGTCAGCTTGATGGACAGGTGAGTTGGCTTACATCTTTAAACCCAAAAACTGCCAGGAATCTTGTTTTCCCTGAGTGGGGAGGGAGGGCGCTTCAGGCTGGAGAGGAGGGTACGGGGAAGCAGCTGGCACATGTGCTTGTGCTCAAGAGCTTGCCAGAGGCAATGGCAAGAGGGAGCTGAGAGGAAGCACAATTGCTACATGATCAGCTCCCCATTTGGTGTAAGAAAGAGCCTATGTGAGGGGTGGGGCTAAGGGTTAAAAAAAAAAAAAAAAAAAAAAGCCTATGTGTTGACTCCATCTCATCTCTGAATGAATCACAGAAGAAACTCAACCCCCCAAAGAAGTTTCTCTAACTAAAGTAAAATGGATTTTTACAGAGAAATAGACTTTGAGCATAGTGGGGTTTCAGTTTATTTCTCCATTGGCATCCCTAGGGGCATAAGGCAGACGGTTTTCAGCTCAGAGGTTTTGATTTCAGAAGAGACTGACAACAGTAAGCTGCTGATTATAGGGGAGGCTATGGGTGGGACCATCTTGGAGAGAATTAGCAGTCTTGACTTAGCTGCATCCATATACTTGGGCCTGAGAAACCAGTATCAGCCCTTTCCTCACTTAGAAATGTATCTTGACCCCTATTCCTCCTGCAGCAGCCACATCCTTGATTGGGGAGGGAGAAGGAAGGAGAGAGGGAAAGAATTGGTGGGGGTAGGACTTGAGGTTTGGGTCTTGAGGCCTGTCTCAGCCTGCCTACCCAGGACCAGCTCTCCTTGGGGTTGGGGTAAAGCAGGATGCAGGGGATAAAAAATGAGAGTTGGAGTCATTTTTCAAATGGGACCAGAATTTATACCATCTGGGCTAGACGCCAGCTTTCCCTTGGCTCGCTCCATGAAGTAGAAATAGGAACTACAACTCTGAACTGGCTCTGTGCCACAGCTCACAACTGTCCATGTTCGGTCACAATGGAGCCCTTGTAGCCCTTGACAGCAGAACTGTTACACATGAGGTCTTTGATCCATGGCAAACCCTTTCTTGAAGTGGCAGTTTTATCATTGTGCCCCTTCCTTCCTTAAAATTCCTAATAAGGGTGGGAGGATCCTGGTCTAACCTCAACTCTCCTGTTCTCAGGCCTCTGTGTGAGCGGCGGAAGTTTCTTCATGAGAACATGGTTGAAATTCCAAACCGGATCATGTTCTCAGAAATGAAACGAGTCACAGTAAGTGAAGACCCTACCCTAGGCAGTGTCCTAGAAGTTTGAAAGCAGAGCAGAGAACTCCTTGAGTCAAGTGCAACTGGAAGAATAAATCTTAATGTCTTATGGAGACTCTTGATGACATTTGCCTTTGACTCTTGTATATATTGTCTGCTAGTCTTCACCCAGAAGGGTAGGGCATGGAAATCCTTCCTAGGTAAGCCCCTAGTGTTTCAAAGCCATAGCAGCCCTCTGGCTGGGATGAGAAACTCCCTGCTTTCTAACCGTTTGTCCCTTATATTCAAGTAAGGGTGTTTTCAGTGGGCACTTCACTAGTGTGTGAAAAGGAACAGTCCCCACTCACTTACTTGCCACCTCACACCAACTTCAGCATCTCTCTTGTCCCTCAGAAAGCTTCGGATTTGGCTGACATGATAACCCGGGTGATCCGGGAGGGATTGGAGGGGCTGGTGCTGAAGGATGTGAAGGTAAGGTGGTCCCCCCTTCCTCTCCTATCCACTCACTCGCAGCCCTCTCCCCTGAGCCTTTCCAGCCCTGACCAGGAGATGGCGGTGGCAGTCTGCAATGGTTGGGGTGGCTACTGGGGGAGCCTTTCCAGGGTCTGGGCAATCTGTCCTGCATCTGGAGGATGGGTTTGTGTGTCTCCTATAGTGCCTGGAACCTGGGTGCTCTTCTCCAGAGAGAGGGGCACTGGGCTAGATCTGGTGTGTAGCAGTGAAGGGGTGAACCCATCCTCATAGAGTTGCCTGTCTACTCTGTGGTCTCTCTTTTGCTTCCCCTCAGGGTACATATGAGCCTGGGAAGCGGCATTGGCTGAAAGTGAAGAAAGACTATTTGAATGAGGGGGCCATGGCTGACACAGCTGACCTGGTGGTCCTTGGGGCCTTCTATGGGCAAGGGAGCAAAGGTCAGGATGGCTTCTGGCCCCTGGGGTGGTACTGTTTTAAAAGACACTGCTTGAGGTACAGGCTGGCCTCAATCTTACTGGCTTGATTTGGCAACATAGCCAGTCATGACTTCTAAAGTCCTGGGATCTAGGGCCCCAAGCTGGCCTGAGTCACCTCAGGTAGCGACATAATACGAGAGCTCTTGACTTGGGTAGGGAAAAGTCAGAATAGAGTACTATGTTAGCCTGGCAGAAGGAAGCTTACCACCAATTATTTCTTCAGGACCTGACAGCTTTCTCCTTAGGGAAAATACCTTTCCCGACTAGAGAAGAAGCTGGAGTCGGAGGAACTAATACTTTTAAGCAGTCTGTCATGTGTCCAACACAGTTCAATGCCCCAGAGCCCAGCGTGTTGGGTGTGATTATCCCTAATTTATAGAAGAGGAAATTGGGGTTTATAAAGGTTAAAATTACACAGCTAGTAAGAGGTAGCTCCAAGAATTAAACTGGCGCTCTGATGGCTGAGACCTAGGTCCTGTCTCTGGCCCTGGGCTGCCTCTCTTGGGCTCGGCTCATGGGACTGGCAGAGATGGCTCCTCCAACCCACACTCATCTCACACTCCCCTCCCAGGCGGCATGATGTCAATCTTCCTCATGGGCTGCTACGACCCTGGCAGCCAGAAGTGGTGCACAGTCACCAAGTGTGCAGGAGGCCATGACGATGCCACACTTGCCCGCCTTCAGAAGGAACTAGACATGGTGAAGATCAGCAAGGTGAGGAAGGGACGTAGTTAGCCCTGGCCTCTGGACTGGCCATCAGCACTGAGACAGAGGCTGTGCTTTGGGGGCTACAGGTATTTATCTGTCTTCCCACAAAGGAGGATTGCAGCTTGCCCAGGGGAGCAGGATTAGGCCTTAAAATCTCTGAGTACCTTGCTTGTGGAAAATGGCTTGCATGCCTCTAGGTCATACCACTCTGGGCTGGGAGGATCACATGGCTGAAGCGTCAGCTGTTTAAGTGGCTTCTTATAATCTCATTACCAAGAGAAGGGATTTAAGCCTTGTTCCAGTTTGGGAACAGCCCAGAACAGCATCTTTTCTCCTCTAGGATCCCAGCAAAATACCCAGCTGGCTGAAGATCAACAAGATCTACTATCCTGACTTCATCGTCCCAGACCCAAAGGTATCAACCCAGTGGTTTGGGGTCCTCCAGCCCATAGGATTAGCTTACAGGTTCTCTAGTGCCACAGAGAAGCCATCTCACCTCAATGAAAGTCCACCCAGGGATGGGAATCTAGATTTCCAGCCAAGTGATAGGCACAGTGACAACCAGCCAACTCTGAGGAATTTTCTCTGTGATCCAATTGCTTTAAGAAAAGAGGGAAGAGAGTACCTGTTCCCTCAGCACAAAAGGTGTGTTCTGGAAGCATCCTGGCCCAATCCCTTCTTGTACTGACCAAGAAAGAGATCCAGAGAACAAACAGGACTTCTCTAAGGCTATCCAGCAGCAGCAGCAAAACCAGGACCCAAGTTTCCCAGCTGTTAGCTGGTTTTTGGTTTTAACTGTTCTGCATTGTTTCTAGCTGGTTGGGAGATACTTTTCTTTTTTTTTTTTTTTTTTTTTTTTTTTTTTTTTTTTTGTTTTTTTTTTTTTTTTTTTTTTTTTTTTTTTTTTTTTTTTTTTTTTTTTTTTTTTTTNTTTTTTTCTTTTTGACAGGGTCTCACTCTGTCGTCCAGGCTGGAGTGCAGTGACGAGACCTTAGCTCACTACAGCCTCCACCCCGCTAGGTTCAAGTAGTTCTCCCACCTCTGTCTCCCAAGTAGCTGCGATTGCAGGGGTGTGCCTCCACACCTGGCTAATTTTTGTATTTTTAGTGGAGATGAGGTTTTCCCATGTTGGCCAGGCTGGTCTCAAGGCCCTGACCTCAGGTGATCCACCCACCTCGGCCTCCCAAAATGCTAGGATTACAGGCAAGAGCCACTGCGCCCAGCCAGTACTTGCTTCACTTTTTTTTTTTTTTTTTTTGAGACAGAGTCTCGCTCTGGAGAACAGTGGCATGATCTCAGCTCACTGCAACCTCTGCCTTCCAGTTTTAAGAGATTCTCATACCTCAGCCTTCTGAGTAGTGGGGTCTACAGGTATGCGCCACTATACCTGGCTAATTTTTGTATTTTTCGTAGAGATGGGGTTGCGCCATGTTGGCCAGGCTGGTCTCAAACTCCTGACCTCAATAGTCTGCCCACCTCAGCTTCCCAAAGTGCTGGGGTTACAGGCATGAGCCACCACACCCAACCACTGATACTATCTTCTTAACCAGTGATGACTTACTTCTCACAGAAAGCTGCCGTGTGGGAGATCACAGGGGCTGAATTCTCCAAATCGGAGGCTCACACAGCTGATGGGATCTCCATCCGATTCCCTCGCTGCACCCGAATCCGAGATGATAAGGACTGGAAATCTGCCACTAACCTTCGTCAACTCAAGGTAGCAGCTCTCAGGCTATATGTGTATTCTCCACCCCACTGTCTAGGCCTTGGAGCCTTGGCCATCTGAACCATTCATATGTCCTCTGTCTTCTCCTTTCTCCCATTCCCCTGAGGCAGAGCAAGGACGACAATTAGAGAGGGAGACCAAACTGCTGCTGGGCCAGGGGCACAGCACTAGACCTCCTTCTCCCTCCATCTCTGAGTAAGAACCCTGCATTCATCAGGCCCCACGGAGCAGCCCTTGGTCTGGGGAGTGAGGGTTTGCTCCTGTTGAGGCAGGAGCTCCTATTGCTCCTGTTGAGGGGGTGCCCTGATTATTCAGGGTATAGGGCCATACTTTGGAATATTACCAAGGAAGCCAACTCCCTTTCTTTGCTCTTTATCTTTCTCGTATCTCTGTTCCCACATGCGCCTAAAATACATCACACATACCACCTCTGAGGCCATAGTCTGGAAGACAATGACATCCTCTGACGTTGTCCCTCCCTGCCTCAGGAACTGTACCAGCTGTCCAAGGAGAAAGCAGACTTCACTGTAATGGCTGGAGATGAAGGGAGCTCCACTACAGGGGGTAGCAGTGAAGAGAATAAGGGTCCCTCGGGGTCTTCTGTGTCCCACAAGGCTCCCAGCGCCTCCCCCAGCAAGCCTTATGCCAGTACCAAGAAAGCAGAAGGGAAACTGAGTAACTCGAACAGCAAAGGCGGTAAGGATAGGGAGGGGGCTGGGATGAGGAAGAGGGCGGTGTGAGGGGCAGAGATCCAAGGGCAGGGACCCAGTCTCTCACATTCCAGCCCTGAGATCTCATGATTATCTATATGCACTGTAGCGGACATGGACTGCATTCCTGGTGTGTGTCCAGCCATGGGCCAGAGACCATTCTGCTGGGCACCCTGTATCTGCTCAGCAAACCTGAATGGAGCAATACCCTGGGGAGAGCCAGTCTGACTGGGGATAAGCCACCTTCGAGCTAAAGGGCTTAGTTGATAACTCTTAACCTCCGCTCTCACCAATGCTCATAGCAGAGAAAGGCCCTGGCCCTTCCCATTACTGCCCATCACTTCAGGAAGCATTATCAGCAATCCCTACCCTTTTAGTTCTTCTGTATCTTAATGTTTTTTAGGGTCTCACACTGTCACCCAGGCTGGAGTGCAGTGGCACAACCATAGCTCACTACAGCCTCGAACTCCTGGTTTCAGTTGAGTAGCTGGGACCATAAGTGTGCACCACCACGCCCAGCTTTCTCTCTGTCCTGCAGGCAACATGCTGACTGCAAAGCCTTCCCCTGTGACAGTGGGAGAGAAGCTGGCCATGAAGTCTTCTCCAGTGAAAGTGGGGGAGAAGCGGAAAGCTGCTGATGAGACCCTGTGCCAAACAAAGGTGAGAGTAAAAACAGCAACACATAGGTGGGCCAGTTTGGCCCAGGTTGTGTTCCCAACCCTCTGCACAAGTTGAAAAAGGATGAGCAAAGTTGTTTGGTGAACACTGGTTAAACCTCTTCACTGCCTGCAGCTGCTCCGCTGTTGGGGCATGGTCAGCAGGGCTGCTGCTCACCCTGTGTCCTCTTGTTGCCTTGCAGAGGCGGCCAGCCAGCGAGCAGAGAGGAAGGAGAACTGTGCCAGCAGGCAGGAGATAGAACAGCTCGGCCTAGCCAGGAGAGACTGCAGGGACTCACTCAGCTACTGGCCCCAAGTCAAAATTTACATTAAAGGGGAAAGCGCAGTCTGGGTGTGGGAATGCGGCAGTGTGAATTTGTGGTCCGGGTGGAAGCAGGTCCAGCGAGCAAGGAGATAGGGAGAGGGCGCTGGCTTGGTGACTCTCTTTCCACCTGAGGAGCCTTTTCCCTTGTACACTCACTTGTCAGTCTTGGGTTTGGCAACATCTCTTGAGCACTTTTTTTTTTTTGGACAGTCTCGCTCTGTCGCCCAGGCTAGAGGGCAATGGTGCAATCTTGGCTCACTGCAACCTCTGCCTCCTGGGTTCAAGCGATTCTCCTGCCCCAGCCTCCCAAGTAGCTAGGACTACAGGCACATGCCACCAAGCCCAGCTAATTTTTCTATTTTTAGTGGAGACAGGGTTTCACCATGTTGCTCAGGGTGGTCTCAAACTCCTGACCTCAAGTGATCCACCTGCCTTGGCCTCCCAAAATGCTGAGATTACAGGCCTGAGCCACCACGCCCAGCCTTTTGAGCACTTTCTGATGCCAAGAACTAGGTTTAGTACTGGCTCAACACTGGGGGAGGTGATGGCTCAAAGGGCAGATAGAGAAGTAAACATATGGCCGGGCGTGGTGGCTCACGCCTGTAATCCTAGCACTTTGGGAGGCTGAGGTGGGTGGATCACCTGAGGTCAGGCGTTCAAAACCAGCCTGGCCATCATGGTGAAACCCCATCTTAAAAAAAAAAAAAAAAAAGAGAGAAGTAAACATATGATCTACACCATGTCATTGCACGCCCACTCTCCCCACTGCCATCCAAGAGCATAGAAGTCTGACAGCTCAGGTCCTGAACTCAATCCCCAACAGACCTGTAGAAACATTTCCCATCTCTCTTCCCTGCCTGAAGTCCTTGAACCCATTGAAAGTAGTAAGCAGGACTCCTAACCCCTCAGTCTAGCAGGTTATACAGAGTAGACTGCTTGGTCTCAGCGGATATCAGAGTCTGGGGGTGCTGAGTCAGAGCCAGCTCTGCCTGCCCACCATGGCTGGATGGCTTTTATACACATGTACTCTTCCCATCTCCAGGTCCCAGATGTCGAGGCCCATCCCCTCTTCCCCTAGGCAGGGATGGAGGGGCATGTCAGTCCTGTGTAATTTGGAGTGACTGGAGGGGTGGGAGTATTGATGCATGTTACTCCAGTAAGCTCCACTGCTTGTGTCCTAACTCTAGGCTCCCTCCTTATTCTGTCCTGTGCTCATCTGGGTAAAGACCCATCGGTACCCAGCTTAGCTCTGAGCCCACCCTGACCCCTCTGCATTTGCAGGTGCTACTGGACATCTTCACTGGGGTGCGGCTGTACTTGCCGCCCTCCACACCAGACTTCAGCCGTCTCAGACGCTACTTTGTGGCATTCGACGGGGACCTGGTACAGGAATTTGATATGGCCTCAGCCACGCATGTGCTGTGTAGCAGGGACAACAACCCTTCAGCCCAGCAGGTCTCCCCAGAGTGGATTTGGGCATGTATCCGGAAACGGAGACTGGTAGCTCCCTGCTAGGTTTGCTGTCTTCCCTCTCTCTTCAGGCCGTACTCTCCTTTACCATACTACTGGACTGGGCGCAGGCTGGAGGCAGGTAGACACAGGATAGGGGGAATGGGCTTGCTTCTCCCAACCCACCAGTTCTCCACAGTCTCTTCTGGACCAGGAATTAGTTGCTGTGGGTGCCACAACTGAAGTCAGTTTCTCTTGCTGGTTTAAATAGATCCTTCTGGTCTGGGTGCTGGTTTTGCCATCTTTTTGTTTTCTTTGAAAAGCAGCTTAATTACCTTTTTTATAAATAAAATATCTTGCAGTTATCTTTGTCCTTTCCCTACCTACACCCCCAATAGTTTCCCTAGAGATTAAGGAGTAAAGGCTGGGCAGCTCTGTCCACAAAGCCTTCTTTCCCCTGCTTGCCTCCCTCTTTGTACTTCCAGGCTTACTTAAAGTTGTATTTTAAAAACTGCCCTCAGAAATGCTTCTATTTAGCAAAACTTGTATTCAGCCTGGCACCCTTTGCCAGGGACAAACCCTCATGTGAAAGAAAACAAAATGAACTTTTATGACTTTCTTCTCTGTGTTCTCCTATTACAGGGTGAGGATCCCCAGTTTGAAGGGAGGGGACTAGGATCAGGTAGGAAAACGGGGCATTTATGAAGAAATGGGAGGTTATTTGGGCCACTCCTCTGGAGGGATGGAGGGCTCCAAGATGATTTGCCTCCCCAAAACCTGGAAACAAGACTGCTTTTTTAGAATAAAAATCCACACGGGACTTGAGGCCAAGAATAGCCCTTGCTGCCACCAACATGGAGACTTTGTACTGTGTGCAGTTCTTAGTGCTCGAATGTCCCAACCTGAAGTTGAAGAAGCCACCCTGGATGCACATGCTGTCAGCCATGATTGTGTCTGCTCTGGAGGTGGTGTCTTCCTCGTGACTGGAGGAATAATTACTGTTATTGTTGAACCTCCAAGTGTTGGCTGATAAACATGGGCATCAGAGGCCAGTAACTTTCTTGGCCTACAGAGTAAATGGACAGTATATTATGGAAGGACTTGCATCCAGCTTCCTGTTTACAATGGGAAGTTTAGCTTTTGTAATCCTGGACCAATCGAATGCACCAAATATCCCAAAACTCAGTAGATTTCTTCTGCTATTCATTGGATGCATCTGTGTCCTATTGAGTTTTTTCATGGCTAGAGTATTCATGAGAATGAAACTGCCGGGTTAGAGTGCCTTTTGAGAAGAAATGAGTGGATACTGGATTCGCTCCTGTCAATTAAGTTTTAAAGCCTGTACCAATCCTCTAATATGAAATGTGGGAAAGAATGAAGAGCAGCTGTAAAGGAAATACATAGCGGAAAAAAAACGAGGAAGTATATTGAAGCTTGGACTAGAATTTCTTCTTGGTATTAGAGAGACAAGTTTATCATAGAATTTTTTTTCCTGCTGACCTATTGATATACCAACAAGGTTGAGTGGCATTTTCTTCTTAGTTTTTCATTCCTTAAAGAATATACTCCATATCTACAAATGAAAAAAAAAAAAAAAAAAAAAACAAAAAAAAAAAAAAAAAAAAAAAAAAAAAACTGCAAAACTCCGTCTCAAAAAAAAAAAAATCCACACCTAATAACAGATCCATACAACCTCCTGTGTATGAAGAATAGCTCCTGTGCTGCCTGAAGCTGATTTATTTGAAGAACAAAAGGAAGACAATTAAGTGTAGACAAGTGCTGTTCAATAGAACTTTTTGCAGCAATGGAAATATCCATAAATCTGCGCTGTCCAACCAAACTAGCCACAGACAACTGCTGAGCAATTGAAAATGAAGCTAGCACAACTAAGAAATTTCTTTTAATTTTTTACTTGGAAGCCCAAGATCGAACAACTAAGAAATTGAAGTTCTCATTTTAATTCAAATTCAAATGGTCACATGCTACTAGTGACTACCACATTGGACAATGCAGGTGTAGACGGAGTTTAAATTGAGTCCTGAAACTTAATGGCTCTAACTTACTTAGGCAAGTTACGTAACATCTAAGCCTCAGTCCCTCCAAGTAGATGGGGGATAACCACTGCACCTAAATCCTAGGGTTGTCCTAATGTCCTCAGATACATTATGTAACACTCTTCGCTCAGAGCCTAGCACATAGTTACCCAGACTGGTATGAATGTCCAGACCCTACCTGGGAGAGGGGGCCCTAGCTTGTAACTTTAGAACCCTCAATTGCAGGTGTGCATGTTCCAGCTAACACTCCACTCAGTGCAGGCTCATCAGGACACCATATGTTTGTAAACTGGCTTCCATGTCCCAGTCCTGCCGGCTCTTGAGAGTCGGTTCTCTCCTTATGAACAAATTAGCAGGCTCTGGGCCTATAAGATCAAGGACCACTGTGTCCCCCCACCCCCACCACCAGTGAACTCAACTAAGATAATACTCTGCTAGGGGATGTTTACCAGTTAGCTTGAAGGCCAACTTTGATCTGATTGACTTTGGCTTTCACCTACTGTTTAAAATGTGTGTTAGGAGAGTAGGGGCAGCAGTGGGGAGGGGAGTACTTTCCTGACTCTAGCCCAGGACATTTGGTATTTTTCAATAGGCACCATTCAGCCTGGATTCAGTATTAGGAATAAGATACTCTTTTTATTCCGTCCTCTATGGAGACAAAAAGCTGCTCCTTCTTTGAGCACTGACCTACATTTCCCTCTTCAGCCTCCTCAGGCCAAGGAACTGGACAGGGCAGCAGAACAAGTCTGTCTCCTTTGGATCCTGACAGAGGAACTGCCCTCTCCAACCTGGACCCAGCCCCACTTGCCCTTACTCTTTGCTTACACCCAGAGTGCACCCTCACAGGAAAGGGCTCTGCTGGCTGCAGGTGATCATCTTGTCCCTTCTCAGCCTTACTCTGTGTTATCTATCACCATTTCAGTGTCAGTGGTTTTTTATGTACTTTCTTCCAGGCTTTGATGCTGAGATCTGACTGTATATAATGTTTTTTATCCTTTCTTGTATTTCTTTCATGTTTTTCAATGCAACCCTCAACGTCGTCATCAAATCTCTCCAGCACAATGCTGGAGGCCTCCCTCTTCTGAACCTTTCCATGCTGCTGGCTGGCATCAGGCAGAGGTCATCACTGGGCACTGAACAGGTCAGCTGCCTAGGGCAATGTTGGCAAAGTGTTGTGGCTCATCCTCGATCCTATACCCTTTTGGCAAGATTCCTTTCTCTTAGTCACAGAGCAGATGGGCACATAATCTTGTTCTCCCGGGGACTGCATTCTCAGGAGTCTTTTCCTGCTCCTTGGGCTCCTCGTTAGGGAGGTTTGTAAGCCTGTGGCCACAGAGTGGTCTGCCACCAGCTGGGCCAACTTTTTTTTTTGTTTTTTTAATAGTGTGCTCTGTCCTCCAGGCTGGAGTGCAGTGGTGCAATCTCAGCTCACTGCAACCTCCATTTCCCAGGTTCACAAGCGATTCTCATACCAGCCTTTCAAGTAGCTGAGACTCACAGGCACATACCAGCTAAGTTTTTGTATTTTTAGTAGAGACAGTGTTTCGCCATGTTGGCCGGACCAGTCTCAAACTCCTGGCCTCAAGTCATCCACCTGTCTCGGCCTCCCAAACTGTAGGGATTACAGCTGTGAGCCATGGCACCCAGCCTGGGCCACACTTTTCTGAGGCATACTCCAACTGTACTACAGCTGTATCCAAAGGCTTTATCTCCCAGGGTAACCTGAAGACCTAACTGGGCATACTAGCTGTCTTCAGATTCCTTTCCATTTCGATCTTTAGGTCCCATCTCTTTTAGATCAATATCCAGTTGGTCTTGGGATTCGTCCTTTTCCTACCCAGCTCTCATTCTCTTCTAGGCTGTTCCATGGCCTCTTCCACATATTACATTTGTGGTCTTGGGAAAGTTACAACACTGAGCATCTTGACCAAGGTCACTTGGCCCAACCACAGGCTAATAATCCCAGGCCATGTACACATGTGCCCTCTCCAACCTGGACCCACGTGAACACATGGCCTGGGATTAGCCTGTGGCTTATCAGTTATTTTGTCTTTTTTCCTTTTTTTTTTTTTT